CGCACACGTACACACACGTACGCACACGTACACACACGTACACACACGTACGCACGCACGTAGCGGCCATCGGCTCGCCGTGTGAGCCGTTGCGTTCTCGCACCGCTGGCGAGCGTGCCGTCCGGATGCCGGTGGTGGTGGTGGTGGTGCACGTCGATGCAGGTACCCGACGTCCACGACGTCCACGACCTCCACGACGTCCACGACCTCCCCGACGTCCCCGACGTCCACGACGTCCACGACCTTCACGACCTTCACGTCGTCCACGACGTCCACGACGAGTCAGGGGGTGGCTGTGGGCTTGCCCTCCTCCCCCTATTTCGTCACCCTCGTGACCCCTCCCCCCTGCCCCACTAACCCCTACGCAGCACGGCGGTGTGCGGGCTGCGGTCAGCTCCAGCGACCCGCTGAAGAGAGGACATCACAGCGTGGTACACACCACACACCGCCACGTCACACCGCCACGTCACACCGCCACGTCACACACCACACACCGCCACGTCACACCGCCACGTCACACACCACACACCGCCACGTCACACCGCCACGTCACACCGCCACGTCACACCGCCACGTCACACCGCCACGTCACACCGCCACGTCACACCGCCACGTCACACCGCCACGTCACACCGCCACGTCACACCGCCACGTCACACCGCCACGTCACACCGCCACGTCACACACCGCACACCGCCATGTTACACACCACACATCACACACCTCAACGTGACACACCACACACCACCACTCCGTCACACCACCACCACGTCACACCACCACCACGTCACACCACCACCACGTCACACCACCACCACCACCACGTCACACCACCACCACGTCACACCACCACCACGTCACACGCTGACACACCCCTACTGAACATCTGCGAAAAAGAGCGTCATAGCTCATGGGATTCCTCCTGATTCCGACATCACCACCATCACCACCACCACCAGAAACCACCACCGCACACCAACCACCACAACCACCGCGCCACCACGCCACAAATTCCCAATTCTCCACGCCGACCGGTAATCCGTACCAGGCGACGCGGCCCCCCAACCCCAGTCTCTGGCCAATTACGGCACAGCCGCAGCAGCAGCAGCAGCAGCAGCAGCAGCGCCACGCGTGGGGGGCTGGGCGTGGGGGGCTGGGCGTGGGGGGCTGGGCGTGGGGGGCTGGTTTAGGGTTTTAAAATAATGAGGTGGGTGGAGGGGGGGGGTTTGCAAATCCGGGTTAAACATGGGGATCAAGCGTGTCGCCCGCCCCCCCGCCCCCTCCCCCATACTGACCCCCCTCCCCCACCCACAGAGGGTAATCTCCCAGAGTCTCCGCTCTGCCCGCTGCCCATATTGACTCGCCTGTTGCACGGGGTGAGCTCACGGGGATAAGTCGGGGTCCTGGTTGGGGTTAGGGGGTAGAGGGGTGGGCCGTGGGGTGATGAGGTCGCAGGATGGGCGGGGGTGAGATCACGACGGGAGGAGGGAGAGTTGTGGAGGGGAGCGTTGCTGTTGAGACGGATGAGAGAGATGGTTATGGTGATGTGGATGATGGTGAAATGAGAGGAAAGGGAGACAGGGGGACAGGGACACAGGGAGACAGGGACACAAGGACACAGGGGGATAGGGAGACAGCGAGACACAAGGGGACACAGGGGGACAGGGGGACGGCGTATCTCCAAGAGACAGGCGTGGGAACAATGACAATGGTGGCAGTGGTTGAGCGGCACAGCGCGAGTGAGCGATGGCCTCGGCACTTGAAGGGGAACAAAGACGGCGTGCTGGGGGCGAGGGGTGGTGGTCGTGGGTGTGGTGATAGCGGTGATGGTGCCGGTGGTGCCGGTGGTGTTGGTGGTGTTGGTGGTGGTCGTGGGTGTGGTGATAGCGGTGATGGTGCTGGTGGTGTTGGTGGTGGTCGTGGGTGTGGTGATAGCGGTGATGGTGCTGGTGGTGTTGGTGGTGCTGGTGGTGTTGGTGGTGTTGGTGGTGTTGGTGGTGGTCGTGGGTGTGGTGATAGCGGTGATAGTGCCGGTGGTGTTGGTGGTGGTCGTGGGTGTGGTGATAGCGGTGATGGTGCTGGTGGTGTTGGTGGTGTTGGTCGTGGGTGTGGTGATAGCGGTGATGGTGCTGGTGGTGTTGGTGGTGGTCGTGGGTGTGGTGATAGCGGTGATGGTGCTGGTGGTGTTGGTGGTGTTGGTCGTGGGTGTGGTGATAGCGGTGATGGTGCTGGTGGTGTTGGTGGTGGTCGTGGGTGTGGTGATAGCGGTGATGGTGCTGGTGGTGTTGGTGGTGTTGGTCGTGGGTGTGGTGATAGCGGTGATGGTGCTGGTGGTGTTGGTGGTGGTCGTGGGTGTGGTGATAGTGCTGGTGTTGGTGGTCGTGGGTGTGGTGATAGCGGTGATGGTGCTGGTGGTGTTGGTGGTAGTCGTGGGTGTGGTGATAGCGGTGATGGAGTTGGTGGTTTTGGTGGTAGTCGTGGGTGTGGTGATAGCGGTGATAGTGCAGGTGTTGGTATTGCTGTTAGTTGTGGTGCTGGTGGTAATGTTGGTGGTGTTGGTGGTGATGGTGTTGGTAACGCTGGTGGTGTAAGTGGTGGTGCTGGTTTTACTGTTGGTGGTGTTAGCGGCTGTGGTGGTGGTGGTGGAGGGGGCGGGTGCGTGGTGGGCGGGGAGAGGAGGTGTGGGTCACACCGTGCCCCATTAACCCCGCTTGTCTTCCCGCTAATTAATTAACACTTTAGTGAGCACACAGCTCATCACAGGGGGAGGGGGTCAATTACACCTCCCCTTCGGGACTTTACAGAGCACAAACATTTACACTCCTACTGCCTCCCTGTCTCACCGTCTCCCCATCTCCCTGTCTGTCTCTCATTTCCTCTTACCCCATCTCCGTCTCCCTGTCTGTGTCTCCCTGTCTGTGTCTCCACCTTCTCCCCGACCTTTCTCCTCCCTCCTCCTCGTCACCCCCCTGCACCGTAAGGGGGGGAGGTGAGGAGGCTTGGAGGGGGATACCCCCACACAGGTCATCCTATGGACATACCGGCCCTGTGCATGGGAATGTGGAATTTATGCAATTGCTGCAAATGAGCTTCACCCCTCCGATCGCCTGAGCAGGGCAGCTTTAACCTTTAACCTTTGAGAGAACATCGGTGGCAGTCGACGCGAACGCCGGAGTGGAGTGGTGAAATCGGATCGTGTGCGAGTGCTTGCCGGATCACGTGGGGAGCGGTGGCGCAGCGGTTAGCGCGCACTGAGACACAAACACGGCGGCCCGGTTTCGATTCCGATTCCGGCTCACGACCAATATCAGCGGTGAAAATCTGAACCAGTTGTGGGCCTCCGCTAGGTCGACTCAGCCTTAAATGGGTACCTGGTGCATGCTGTGTGTAAAGATCAGCACTGGGGAGATAAAGGCGGCTGGGACTGGTGCTGGCCACAACATCCCCTCGTGCCCCGTGCCGGCCTTAATAGGTGCTCGCTAACAGTTATTGTCCCATCAGTATGTTAAAGGCTCCATGGGGGATCCTTGTATTCGTGTGCGCTAACACTAATTCCCGCGTCCCTTTAGGGGGGTCTTAAGACCCCTAAATAAACTCATCAACGTCCGTGTCCCCTAATCCCAGCAGACCCTGACTAACCCCAGTCTCACCCCCAAACCCTACCCCCTAACCAAGCCCCAACCCCCAGTCTCACCACACACACATGCAGAGGCGTTACCATCCCCCCCCACCACCACCCTCCCTCTCGAGGGATACAAAGGAACGTCCAGGAACACAAAAGGGGGAGCAAGGGGGGTCGAGGAGGAGGAAGGGGGGGGGGGTAGGCGAGAGGTCTGTGACCAAGCACCACCCACAATGCACCCCATCTTGCCTGGATCTCGGAAGCTAAGCAGGCGCTGAGCCTGTGCAACAGCTCTTGGATGAGAGACCACCTCGGGACAGCTGTGATGGAGGCTTGGGGTTGTGGAGTGGCCAAGAAGTGGCAGTACAGCAAGCAGGTTCATGCATAGCCGAGCTATGGGGGGGTGTGCCCCTCCTATACAGCAGCGTGTTGCTGGGTTGTCTCCATGTTCTTCGCTTCCTTGGCCACACCAAGCCACCAGACCCGTTGCTGCTCATGGCGCAAACATCCCAGCGTAGCAGCACCCGCCTGACAACGAGTCTTGAGACTCGTTGTCAGGAGGATGAGGCAAGAACGAGAGAGGGGAGAGGCGGGGGAAGGTGGCGAGAGGGGAGAGGCAGGGAGAGGAAGGGAGAGGGGAGAGGAAGGGAGAGGGGAGAGGCAGGGAGAGGGAGATGCTGACCCTTTGTTCGTGCGTGTGGGGTGTGTGTGGGAGGAGGGTGACTCTTCACTCTCATTAGGGCACATTTCTCTACGCAGCACTCACCCCCCCGCTCACCCCTCCCTCACCACCCCCACCGCGCCCCCCTCTGCTATTGCGGCCCAGCCAGACCTTTGTATCTGTGGCTGTGTCTCTGCCTAATTAAGGACTCAAATTAAAAGCAACGCCTCAATGAGTCTCAAGACCCATTTTCAAGAGGGTCTTGCAATGTGATGTTTGACCATTTACATTAATTCACGTGATACATATTATAGTGATATGGATATGCATCTGTCGGCATGTATATATATGATGAGCAAGCTAAAGGTGCAGCCCTGCAAGAGCCCGCTCACGCCACTACTGGTGGACGGGGCCTCCACGAGAGGGACTAGCCGTGGCGATCGACAAGTTGTGGGCGAGGCCTGTTACACCGCGGGGTGCACAGGGCAGCGGCTGCCGCACGGTACCGTGAACCCGGCCACCCGGGTTCGACTCCCGTCCACGGTTAACGTCGGAGGCGAATATCTGAATCGGACGTGGGGACAAAGGGCAGTCGGGCCACCTCCCTGTGTGCTGTGCCGGCCTTCATAGGTCCTACTCACTAACAGCACTTGTCCCAACAGTCGGTCAAGGCTACACGGGGAGATTTGTCTTTGTGCGCGAGTGTGTGCGCGTCACCTCGACGAGGAACCGGCGACGCCGCACTCGGAAGGCGAGGTCGTGGGAGTCTACGAGCGACGTCGTGAGCGAGTTCAAGCGCGGAGCTCGCACCACGTGCAGCAGGCCTGCACTCCCCAAACGCACGGACACCCACGTCACCCACTCCCCAAACGCACGGACACCCACGGCACCCACTCCCCAAACGCACGGACACCCACGTCACCCACTCCCCAAACGCACGGACACCCACGTCACCCACTCCCCAAACGCACAGACACCCAAGTCACCCACTCCCCAAGCGCACGGACACCCACGTCACGCACTCCCCAAACGAACAGGCACCAACGTCACGCACTCCCCAAACGCACGGACACCCACGTCACCCACTCCCCAAGCGCACGGACACCCACGTCACGCACTCCCCAAACGCACGGGCGCCCCCCCAACCCCACGTGTTCTCTCACCGTGGTGCTCGCGGTAGAGGGGGTGGACGTCACCACGGGGGGAGCCAGCGAACGACTCGAGCCGGAGCACCGAGTCGCTCGCTCGCTCCACGCGGCGCAGCCATGCGTCGTCCTGCACCACACACGCACAGACATACAAACACAAAGATCCCCCATGTAGCCTTCAAAGACTGTTGGGGCAAGTGCTGTTCGTGAGCAACTGTGAAGGCCGGCAGGGCACACGAGGGGGTGGGCAGTCAGCACCACGCCCGGCCGCCTTTGTCTCCCCAATGGCGATGTTTACACACCGCACCCGGTACTCATTTTGAGGCCGAGTCGACCTAGGGAAGGCCCAGGACCGGTTCAAATACTCATCACTGGGTGTTGGTTGTAAGCGGGAATCGAACTCGGGCCGCCGGGTTCATAGCGCAGCGCGCTAACCGCTACACCACCGCTCCCCAAACACACTCACACACACAGACGTACATTCGGATATACACATGGATACACACACACGTACGGACATTGAGAGAACATTGGAGGTGGTGATGAGGTCCAGTGGGAGGGAGGACATCCACCAGAGCGGTGGAATCGGATCGTGTGCACGTGGGGAGCGGTGGTGCAGCGGTTAGCGCCCACCGAGAGGATGGGTGGACGGAAGGATGTTTCACACAACCCCGCACCGTACGCAGGACGTGCGGTGCGACGAGACGAGAGCGGAGCGAGCGAGCTGCAGCGCCCGTCGTGGGGTTAATGATGCAGACGCAGAACACGCAGACACGGGCGCGTGTTAAGTACACACACTTAGCGCTCGCGTACGCTCAGACACACGCACGCACTAACACTTGTACACTTGTACACATTCACTCACGCGCACGCGTGGCGGAAACACAAACAGGGCGAGGGGACGGTGGCGTCTCCACATGTTTGTTTCTCTCATCGCACGCAAACACACTCCCCTCGTCTCTCCCCACCCACCACTACTCTCCCTCGTCTCTCCCCACCCACGACTACTCTCCCTCGTCTCTCCCCACCCACCACGACTACTCTCCCCACTCTCTCCCCACCCACCACGACTACTCTCCCTCGTCTCTCCCCACCCACCACGACTACTCCCCTCGTCTCTCCCCACCCACCACGACTACTCTCCCTCGTCTCTCCCCACCCACCACGACTACTCTCCCCACTCTCTCCCCACCCACCACGACTACACTCTCCCTCGTCTCTCCCCACCCACCACAACTACTCTCCCCACTCTCTCCCCACCCACCACGACTACTCTCCCTCGTCTCTCCCCACCCACCACGACTACTCTCCCTCGTCTCTCCCCACCCACCACAACTACTCTCCCCACTCTCTCCCCACCCACCACGACTACTCTCCCTCGTCTCTCCCCACCCACCACGACTACTCTCCCTCGTCTCTCCCCACCCACCACGACTACTCTCCCTCGTCTCTCCCCACCCACCACAACTACTCTCCCCACTCTCTCCCCACCCACCACGACTACTCTCCCTCGTCTCTCCCCACCCACCACGACTACTCTCCCTCGTCTCTCCCCACCCACCACAACTACTCTCCCCACTCTCTCCCCACCCACCACGACTACTCTCCCTCGTCTCTCCCCACCCACCACGACTACTCTCCCTCGTCTCTCCCCACCCACCACGACTACTCTCCCTCGTCTCTCCCCACCCACGACTACTCTCCCTCGTCTCTCCCCACCCACCACGACTACTCTCCCCGCTCTCTCCCTACACTCTCCGTACTCTCACCCCGACCGCTCTCACGGCCAACTCTCCCCGCACTCTCCCCGCACTCTCCCCGCGCTCTCCCTCGCTCACCTGTGTAATTGTACCGTGTCGTCACCATGGCCCTCGCTCCCCCATCCCCTCCCCCCTTCTCCCGCCCCCCCCCCCCCCACTCACCTGGCCCAGGTGAGCTGGCACGGTGGCGACCGCCACACACAGCGAGGAGCGGAGGAGCGAGCGGAGCGCCAGGAGGAGGCGGGGCAGCGCCGCGTTGCCGTGGGGGGGGCCCCGCGAGAGGGGGGGGGCGCTTGTTGAATCGTCCCCCCACGCCGCCCCCCCCAGGGACGGCAGTGACGCACGCAGCACGCGGCGCGGGGGGGGGGCGGCCGGGGGGGTGGGGGCTGGGGTGGGGGGCTAATGGGGGCATGCAGGCAAAACACACACAAGCAAAAACACACACAAGCGCACGCACGTATCATCATCATCATCATCATCGTGAACACCACGGTGAAGTATGGTCAAACAATCCCCACCACCGACATAGCGTAGTGGCGGCGGTGATGGTTTTGGTGGTTGTGGTGTTGGTGATGGTGGCGGTAGCGGTAGTGGTGGCTGTGGTAGTGGTGGTGGAGATGGTGGTGGAGATGGTGGTGGAGATGATGATGGTTGTGGCTGTGATGGTGGTGGTGGTGTTGTCAGCGGTAAGGGCAGAACGTTGAAACATGGCGTGGGGAGGCCTGCACCATCCAGCTGTAGATAGACCACGGGTCAGAGTGGCGACGCAGACCATCAAGGGCGCACACCTGTGGGGGTGAGAGGTCATACGCGGGGTCCTGGGTGACGCGCGCCAGCGAGCGGAGCAGAGCGGAGTACCCGGGCACCGCATCCACCCTGCCGCCACACACAACCACACGTGTCAACACGCAACCACACGTGTCATCACGCAACCACACGCGTGTCAACACGCAACCACGCGCATGTCGACACGCAACAACATACGCAACTATCCATACACACTGCAGTGATGCACTTTGGAATCCCCTCTCCTCCCATCATCGTCTCTTCTCCCCAGGCTTCAACTACAACAACAGCAACCTCGCGCAAGTCAAGTGACGTCCGATACCAGTGCTGTCTGTGAGTGTCTCACCCGTGGGGGGTAGCGGTGTGGGTGAGCGGCGGGTGAGCGGGCAGGTGGAAGGTGTGCACGCGTGCCGTAGCTCGGACCTCCGCCCCCATGGTGCGTGAAAGGTCAAAGCTCTGGCCCAGAGCGGCGCCCGCAGCCAGCGCAGTCTGCGTCAACGGAAGGGCGCAGCGCAACGTAGCAGATCCACCCCGACCACTTGACCGCCCTCGCCCAGTGCGGCATGCCCACATATCGCTCCTCTTCAGATGCGACACGCACTGCTGTTTTACACATCCCTCTTCAGATGTGATACACACTGCTGTTTTACACAACCCTCTTCAGATGTGATACACACTGCTGTTTTACACATCCCTCTTCAGATGCGATACACACTGCTGTTTTACACATCCCTCTTCAGATGTGATACACACTGCTGTTTTACACAATCCTCTTCAGATGTGAGACACACTGCTGTTTTACATAACCCTCTTCAGATGTGATACACACTGCTGTTTTACACAATCCTCTTCAGATGTGACACACACTGCTGTTTTACATAACCCTCTTCAGATGTGATACACACTGCTGTTTTACACATCCCTCTTCAGATGTGATACACACTGCTGTTTTACACAACCCTCTTCAGATGTGATACACACTGCTGTTTTACACAACCCTCTTCAGATGTGATACACACTGCTGTTTTACACATCCCTCTTCAGATGTGATACACACTGCTGTTTTACACATCCCTCTTCAGATGTGATACACACTGCTGTTTTACACAACCCTCTTCAGATGTGATACACACTGCTGTTTTACACAACCCTCTTCAGATGTGATACACACTGCTGTTTTACACAACCCTCTTCAGATGTGATACACACTGCTGTTTTACACATCCCTCTTCAGATGTGATACACACTGCTGTTTTACACAACCCTCTTCAGATGTGATACACACTGCTGTTTTACACATCCCTCTTCAGATGTGATACACACTGCTGTTTTACACAACCCTCTTCAGATGCGATACACACTGCTGTTTAACACAACCCTCTTCAGATGCGATACACACTGCTGTTTTACACAACCCTCTTCAGATGTGATACACACTGCTGTTTTACACAACCCTCTTCAGATGTGATACACACTGCTGTTTTACACAACCCTCTTCAGATGTGATACACACTGCTGTTTTACACAACCCTCTTCAGATGTGATACACACTGCTGTTTTACACAACCCTCTTCAGATGTGATACACACTGCTGTTTTTACACAACCCTCTTCAGATGTGATACACACTGCTGTTTTACACAACCCTCTTCAGATGTGACACACTGCTGTTTTACACAACCCTCTTCAGATGTGATACACACTGCTGTTTTACACAACCCTCTTCAGATGTGATACACACTGCTGTTTTACACAACCCTCTTCAGATGTGACACACTGCTGTTTTACACAACCCTCTTCAGATGTGATACACACTGCTGTTTTACACAACCCTCTTCAGATGTGATACACACTGCTGTTTTACACAACCCTCTTCAGATGTGACACACTGCTGTTTTACACAACCCTCTTCAGATGTGATACACACTGCTGTTTTACACAACCCTCTTCAGATGTGATACACACTGCTGTTTTACACAACCCTCTTCAGATGTGATACACACTGCTGTTTTACACAACCCTCTTCAGATGCGATACACACTGCTGTTTTACACAACCCTCTTCAGATGTGATACACACTGCTGTTTTACACAACCCTCTTCAGATGTGATACACACTGCTGTTTTACACAACCCTCTTCAGATGTGATACACACTGCTGTTTTACACAACCCTCTTCAGATGTGATACACACTGCTGTTTTACACACCCCTCTTCAGATGTGATACACACTGCTGTTTTACACAACCCTCTTCAGATGTGATACACACTGTTGTTTTACACAACCCTCTTCAGATGTGATACACACTGCTGTTTTACACAACCCTCTTCAGATGCCAAACGGACTGCTTGGAGTGCGCAACGTCAAGCAGCCGGGGTCCAACACGAGCCAACTACGGACCGGTGCCAGAGGGCAATTTCCTCCAACTTCCCATGAACCTCAAAAGTGCACCTTGCCTGCCACTGCCCAGAAGCATCCTTCGTGAGCCTCCTCGACAGAGGCTGATCTCGACCATCGTGAAGGTTCTGGATGATCGTCAACAAAGGGGCAGGGGGGGGGGGCCCTAAGAGCAGGAAGAACAACCCAGAGGCCGTGGCCTCGTGAGGGTACCATCCATCGGCCTTGACCAGGCCAATAAAACAATAACGTAGGTCGTTCTGACAATTTCCTACACCTCTGCTGTAGCAGTTGGACACACTCACTCACCGACTGAATCACCCACTCTCCTGCTCTCACACTCGCACACAGAGTTGGTGAGGCACCAATGCTCTCACCTCCACTTTGGGCATGTTCTGGTATCTCCACGCGATCTCCATGCCCTCCGCGTCGCTCGCTCTCCCGCAGGGATCCCCGCGACCCGCAGGGGCCTCATCCAGCACGGGGGCCGGCAACTCCTGCCCGGGGGGTGTGGGGTAGGGGAGGGCACGCCTGTGATCCAGCAGCCAGGGCCTCATTTCTCTCCGTATATTCTCCGGGTGCCCGTCATAGGTGGCAGGTGACGATCAATCACCCACAGCCCAGAGTGAAAGGAATACTGGATGTGGTGCGCCAGGTGTCGACATATATTCCGGATTAAAAAAAAAAACACCACTTGGCTAAGAGGACGACTCCTTGGCATGGAGCGATCAACTCTTGAGTGACTCTTCTTATCAGCGGAAGAAAACGAGACGAGAGATTTCATCGCCGAGTCAAGGCCCACCGACGCGGTGAACAATGGCACGAGTGCGGAGGGACAGGTGAATGGCGTGTGCGTGCATGCGAAGGGTTAATCGGCGCGTGTTGCCACCCGCAGTGACGCGGGGACCACACACGAGGCACCACCTCCAAGCACCGTGGAAGAAAAGTGCGCAGAGGTGCATGGCGAGACGAACGCTTGCTATCGGATACCAAGAGAGAGACACACGGAGAAGAGCACGCACGCACGCACGCACACACACGCACGCACACACGCACGCACGCTACAGGCGGTGATCCCAGACTGCTCGAGAAAGTGAGTGGGGCCTGGGCAGGACGCATCACGCGCGGATGGTGGCCTGCGGATGAAGACTAATGACGGAACGTCAGCTGAAGGAGGGGAAACAACATTCCAGGGGACGTCCCCCCCCACCCCCCACCACCGCCACTGAGACGGAGCGATGAATGAAATCAGCTGGCGTGCGGGAACTAAACGATTCGTTGCTTCGCGGGAAGCCGTGAGCGATGGGGCAGCGGTTGGAGGCCTTCGTCCAGCAGTGGATGGACCACGGCGCCGTGCAGTTAGGGCGACGGCGGCGGTGGAACCCGACCCAAGCGCCGTAACCTCGTTACCACGGAACCTCGTTACCACGGAACCTCGTTACCACGGAACAACGGCGCTCGCGGGCTGGCTCGGGTTACCGTGAACGGGCCGCCACCGCCGTTGCTGCCGCCACCATTGTCACTGCCGGGCTAATTGGCCATTAAGTCGTGGTCAGAGAGCCAGAGGTCTCAACTGAGCAAACAAACACGGGGTGGGAGACTGCCGGGCGGCACGGGGCGTGGATGCATGCATAGCCACCACCACCGCCACCACCAACTACACAAAATCCACCAACTCCACCAGCGCCACCACCACCAACAATGCCACCAACTGCACCACCACCAACTTCACAAACTCCAATTCCACTGCCACAATTTGATTTTCGCTCCTGCAAATGAAATTCGGACAAAGCAATCCAAAAACAACAAAGGAGACGGTGAAAGGGAGGGAGAGAAAGAGTGTGAAGGTGACAGAGAGGGAGAGACAGAGAGTGTGAAGGTGATAGAGAGAGAGACAGAGAGTGTGAAGGTGACAGAGAGAGAGAGACAGAGAGTGTGAAGGTGACAGAGAGAGAGAGAGACAGAGAGTGTGAAGGTGACAGAGAGAGAGAGAGACAGAGAGTGTGAAGGTGACAGAGAGAGAGAGACAGAGAGTGTGAAGGTGACAGAGAGGGAGAGACAGAGAGTGTGAAGGTGACAGAGAGGGAGAGACAGAGAGTGTGAAGGTGACAGAGAGGGAGAGACAGAGAGTGTGAAGGTGACAGAGAGGGAGAGACAAAGAGTGTGAAGGTGACAGAGAGGGAGAGAGAGAGTGTGAAGGTGACAGAGAGGGAGAGAGAGTGTGAAGGTGACAGAGAGGGAGAGACAGAGAGTGTGAAGGTGACAGAGAGAGAGTGTGAAGGTGACAGAGAGAGAGAGAGACAGAGAGTGTGAAGGTGACAGAGAGAGAGAGACAGAGAGTGTGAAGGTGACAGAGAGAGAGAGACAGAGAGTGTGAAGGTGACAGAGAGAGAGAGAGAGAGACAGAGAGTGTGAAGGTGACAGAGAGAGAGAGACAGAGAGTGTGAAGGTGACAGAGAGGGAGAGACAGAGAGTGTGAAGGTGACAGAGAGAGAGACAGAGAGTGTGAAGGTGACAGAGAGAGACAGAGAGTGTGAAGGTGACAGAGAGAGAGAGAGAGAGACAGAGAGTGTGAAGGTGACAGAGAGAGAGAGAGACAGAGAGTGTGAAGGTGACAGAGAGAGAGACAGAGTGTGAAGGTGACAGAGAGAGACAGAGAGTGTGAAGGCGACAGAGAGAGAGACAGAGAGTGTGAAGGTGACAGAGAGAGAGAGAGACAGAGAGTGTGAAGGTGACAGAGAGAGAGACAGAGAGTGTGAAGGTGAGAGAGAGGGAGAGACAGAGAGGGAGAGAGACAGAGAGTGTGAAGGTGACAGAGAGAGACAGAGAGTGTGAAGGTGACAGAGAGAGACAGAGTGTGAAGGTGACAGAGAGAGAGAGACAGAGAGTGTGAAGGTGACACAGAGAGACAGAGAGTGTGAAGGTGACAGAGAGAGAGAGAGACAGAGAGTGTGAAGGTGAGAGAGAGGGAGAGACAGAGAGGGAGAGAGACAGAGAGTGTGAAGGTGACACAGAGAGACAGAGAGTGTGAAGGTGACAGAGAGAGACAGAGAGTGTGAAGGTGACAGAGAGAGAGAGAGAGACAGAGAGTGTGAAGGTGACAGAGAGAGAGAGACAGAGAGTGTGAAGGTGAGAGAGAGGGAGAGACAGAGAGTGTGAAGGTGACAGGGAGAGACAGAGAGTGTGAAGGTGACAGAGAGAGACAGAGAGTGCGAAGGTGACAGAACGAGACAGAGTGTGAAGGTGACAGAGAGAGAGACAGAGTGTGAAGGTGACAGAGAGAGACAGAGAGTGTGAAGGTGACAGAGAGGGAGAGACAGAGAGTGTGAAGGTGACAGAGAGAGAGAGAGACAGAGTGTGAAGGTGACAGAGAGAGACAGAGAGTGTGAAGGTGACAGAGAGAGACAGAGAGTGTGAAGGTGACAGAGAGGGAGAGAGACAGAGAGTGTGAAGGTGACAGAGAGAGAGACAGAGAGTGTGAAGGTGACAGAGAGACAGAGAGTGTGAAGGTGACAGAGAGGGAGAGAGACAGAGTGTGAAGGTGACAGACAGAGAGAGACAGAGAGTGTGAAGGTGACAGAGAGAGAGAGACAGAGAGTGTGAAGGTGACAGAGAGGGAGAGACAGAGAGTGTGAAGGTGACAGACAGAGAGAGACAGAGAGTGTGAAGGTGACAGAGAGAGAGAGAGACAGAGAGTGTGAAGGTGACAGAGAGAGACAGAGAGTGTGAAGGTGACAGAGAGAGACAGAGAGTGTGAAGGTGACAGAGAGAGACAGAGAGTGTGAAGGTGACAGAGAGAGACAGAGAGTGTGAAGGTGACAGAGAGGGAGAGAGACAGAGAGTGTGAAGGTGACAGACAGAGAGAGACAGAGAGTGTGAAGGTGACAGAGAGAGAGAGAGAGAGTGTGAAGGTGACAGAGAGAGACAGAGAGTGTGAAGGTGACAGAGAGAGACAGAGAGTGTGAAGGTGACAGAGAGGGAGAGAGACAGAGAGTGTGAAGGTGACAGAGAGAGAGAGACAGAGAGTGTGAAGGTGACAGAGAGAGAGAGAGACAGAGAGTGTGAAGGTGACAGAGAGAGACAGAGAGTGTGAAGGTGACAGAGAGAGACAGAGAGTGTGAAAGTGACAGAGAGAGAGACAGAGAGTGTGAAGGTGACAGAGAGGGGGAGAGTACAAAGAGAGAGGGAGAGAGAGGGAGCAAGGGAGAACAAAAGAGACGGAGAGGAGAGTGAACCCGACTCACCCACAACGGGATCGTCTGCGGATCGCCACATGTATACCCAAACACTGTCCGTCGGTTCGCTTACAACCCGCGAGCCAAGCGCAGCACGATGAGCAACGTGCCGGGAAACCGGGTGGGGGGTGGGTGGGGGGGGGAGCGCCCGTTCCCAGCCTGAGAAACCGGGGTGCGGAGATGGAGAGCGGTGATGAGGGAGAGGTTCTGGGGGTTAGTGTCGGGGCGAAGGCTGTGGGACAGAGTTCAGGATGAGGCTGTCGGGGGTTTGCAGCAGTAGGAGGAGGGTGGAGGACAGAGCGTGCTCAAGTGGGTTTTGCTGAATCGGGTGAGACCTCAAGGGACCGGGACGAGAGTCTCATTTGCGACAGTGACCCTGAGGCTTGTTGGGGGATAGCGTGGGGGTTAGGGCGAGGGGGTTCGTGGTCGGGAGCTGGATGAGGGATGGGGTTGGTGGTGTTTGGTGAAACAGCGTCACCCATCGGACGCTGCCACCCCTCCACAACGCACTACCTGCACCCTCCCACACGCTCCCACACGCTCTCACCCGCTCTCTCCAGCACTCTCCCACACGCTCTCTCCTGCACACTCCCACACGCTCTCACCCGCTCTCTCCTACACGCTCTCTCCCACACGCTCTCTCCCACACGCTCTCTCCCACACGCTCTCTCCCACACGCTCTCACCCAATCTCTCCCGCACGCTCTCTCCCACACGCTCTCACCCGCTCTCTCCCACCCGCTCTCTCCCACACGCTCTCTCCCACACGCTCTCTCCCACAAGCTCTCTCCCACACGCTCTCTCCCACACGCTCGCTCCCACACGCTCTCTCCCACACGCACTCTCCCACACGCTCTCTCCCACACGCTCTCTCCCACACGCTCTCTCCCACACGCTCAACCAATATCTCCCACACGCTCTCTCCCACACGCTCTCTCCCACACGCTCTCTCCCACACGCTCTCTCCCACACGCTCTCAACCAATATCTCCCACACGCTCTCTCCCACACGCTCTCTCCCACACGCTCTCACCCAATCTCTCCCGCACGCTCTCTCCCGCTCTCTCCAGCACGCTCTCACCCGCACTTTCCCACACGCCCTCATCCGCTCGCACTCACCCGCTCTCTCCCACACGCTCTCTCCCACACGCTCTCTCCCACACGCTCTCTCCCACACGCTCTCTCCCACACGCTCTCTCCCACACACTCTCTCCCACACGCTCTCTCCCGCTCTCTCTCACACGCTCTCAACCAATCTCTCCCACACGCTCTCTCCCACTCTCTCCCACATGCTCTCTCCCACATGCTCTCTCCCACACGCTCTCTCCCGCACCGACACCCTCTCACATACTCTCTCACTCTCATGCCCTCTCTCTCACCCTCTCACTCATGCTCTCGTGCAAGCTCACCTGCCATCATCCCCTCTCTCACCCGCTCCCTCACCTGGATGATGTCATCGGGGTGAGTGTCAGCGGAGGCCACGTAGAGGTCATGACCCGATGCGATCCCCTGGGCGAGGAAGCAGCGGAGGATGTGGCGAGCGAAACTCCCAAAAGCATCCTCCTCTAGAGCGGCACCGCCACGCACGGGCATCATCAGGGGCATCAGCCATCGTCATCAGCATCATCAGCATCGCAAGCTTCATCGGCATCCTCATCAGTTATCATCAGTTGAGTCATTGCCAAAATCGTCATCAGTTTTATGATCATCCGAGTCATCACTATCATCATCATCACTGTCATCAGTGTCCTCATCATCATCACTATCAGTGTGATCATCATCACTGTCATCAGTGTGATCATCATCACTGTCATCAGTGTCATCATCATCATCACTATCATCAGTAGCATCATCATCATCACTATCATCAGTCATCATCATCACTATCATCAGTGTCATCATCATCACTATCATCAGTGTCATCATCACTATCATCACTATCATCAGTATCATCATCACTATCAGTGTCATTATCATCACTATCATCAGTGTAATCATCATCACTATCATCAGTGTCATCATCATCACTATCATCAGTGTCATTATCATCATCACTATCATCAGTGTCATCATCATCATCACTATCATCAGTGTAATTATTATCACTATCATCAGTGTCATCATCATCACTATCATCAGTGTCATCATCATCACTATCATCAGTGTCATCATCATCACTATCATCAGTGTCATCATCATCATCACTATCATCACTATCATCAGTATCATCATCACTATCAGTGTCATTATCATCATCACTATCATCAGTGTAATCATCATCACTATCATCAGTGTCATCATCACTATCATCAGTGTCATTATCATCATCACTATCATCAGTGTCATCATCATCACTATCATCAGTGTAATTATTATCACTATCATCAGTGTCATCATCATCATCATCACTATCATCAGTGTCATCATCATCACTATCATCAGTGTCATCATCATCACTATCATCAGTGTCATCATCATTATCATCAGTGTCATCATCATCATCACTATCATAAGTGTCATCATCACTATCATCAGTGTCATCATCATCACTATCATCAGTGTCATCATCATCACTATCATCAGTGTCATCATCATTATCATCAGTGTCATCATCATCACTATCATAAGTGTCACCATCACTATCATCAGTGTCATCATCATCACTATCATCAGTGTCATCATCATCATCATCACGATCATCAGTGTCATCATCACTATCATCAGTGTCATCATCATCACCAACGAGATTATCAACCATTGTGATCTTCATCAATACAGCGCGAGGTGCCAGAACACGGGGATATTTCAGATTATTACTCAGTAAATTGAAACAATGCAGAATATACAACATACACACTCACCACTCACTCACCCACCACCCACTCAATCAGCCAGTCAACCACTCACTCGATCAACACTCATGCACCCACCAACTCACTCAGACACCCACTCACCCATTCACCCACCCACTCACAAATCCATCCACTCACTGACCCACACACCAAGGAATAAATTATAGACCAAATAAACTGTTAAAAATCAATAGAGAATATACACCACACACACAACAATGCGGCATCAACCAAACTGCGAAGTTAAACTGCGCTTGAGGCTACTCTCTGTCCGCTTTATCCGAGTGATTCATCCGCGATCTAGAGACCACGCGTCAACACCCCAGCTCCGCCGCTTCGACCGTCGGCCACGGACCACGACCGGGAGGCGAACCTTCACTCACGTACCGATGAGCAGCAGCGACCCCAGCGCCAGCCCGCCACCTGCAACGGACACAAAAATCAACACACAAGGGCTACCACTCCTGCTATCCTGACAATAGTAACGATCCCGCGCGTATCCCACAGCTTGGACTCAACTCTGGAATTCCCTCCCACCGCCTGCTTCCCCCAAACCTCTTACAACAGACGACCGTGCTCAATGCAACAAACGCTCCTCATCCGTCACGACCTTGACAGTGCTGTTTGTTGCTGGCCCCTGGACACGTTGGGTATTTGTGACTTTGCTCTGCGACAAGTTAAGTTAAATACAAACCGCACGCAGGCTGTCGGGGCAAGTGTTGTTAGCGAGGGGCAAGTGTTGTTAGCGAGGGGCAAGTGCTGTTAGCGAGGGGCAAGTGTTGTTAGCGAGGGGCCAGTGTTGTTAGCGAGGGGCAAGTGCTGTTAGCGAGGGGCAAGTGTTGTTAGCGAGGGGCCAGTGTTGTTAGCGAGGGGCCAGTGTTGTTAGCGAGGGGCAAGTGTTGTTAGCGAGGGGCCAGTGTTGTTAGCGAGGGGCCAGTGTTGTTAGCGAGGGGCAAGTGTTGTTAGCGAGGGGCAAGTGCTGTTAGCGAGGGGCAAGTGTTGTTAGCGAGGGGCCAGTGTTGTTAGCGAGGGGCAAGTGCTGTTAGCGAGGGGCAAGTGCTGTTAGCGAGGGGAAAGTGCTGTTAGCGAGGGGCAAGTGCTGTTAGCGAGGGGCAAGTGTTGTTAGCGAGTGCCAACGAAGGCTGGCGCGACGCACGAGGGGGTTGCTGTGGCCAGCAATTTAGGCGCCATGTCCAACGTTTCACTACACGTTCCGGGAGCTTCTTCAGGAACCGAACAAAAGCGGCTCACTCCCTCGATGGATTCTGCAGCAATCGCAGGCAGCTGCTGGTACTAGATGTCGGCCGGGCGACGTTGTGTTAATAAACAGCCGATGGTAATACTGACATCGTCTTGCCCTCCATCAAACAGCAGCAGCAGCAGGGCCATTCGACAGAATCGAGGGAGAATGTGAGCCGATGAGTTCGGTTAATGAAGGAGCTTTTGGCACGTGGGGCGAAACGCCGGACTTCGTGCTGAACAACACGCCGCGGGGAAATTATTCTCGTTGTGGCGGTGGCTCGTGTGTGGGATGGGGGGGGAGCGGTAGTGGTTAGCGTGCTGCGCTTAGAACCCGGCGACTCGGGTTCGATTCCAGTTCACGGCCAACACCAGTGACGATTATCTGAAAATGCCATGGGCCTCCTCTAGGTCGACTCAGCCTCAAATGGGTACCGGGTGCGATGTTTAACCATCGCCACTGGGGAGACAAAGGCGACCGGGCGTGGTGCTGGCCACCCACCTCCTCGTGCGTCGTGTCCTCCTTTATAGGCGCTACTCGTTAAGGGCACTTGCCCCCAACAGTGTGTTAAGGCTATACGGGGGATCTTTGTCTTTTGGTAAGGGGGTTGAGGGGGTTGGATCGTTACATGGCTAATCTGTCACGTGTCCACACGGCGGCAGCTCAACGCGCCACTGCCCGCCGTGATTGAGCTGTCCGAGTGCGGCTCCCGTCCAGCGTAAGGAGCTCTGTGGAATTGTAGCTTCAGATTTCACCGCTTCGGTGAACTTACACAGAGCAACGACAGGTTAATTACGACTGACGGGGGAGGGAGCCCGCGGGGGTCTTTGTTATTGTCACCGAGGAATTGAAAAAGACCTCTCGATTTGTCGGTAAATTTGAAGTGACCGGTTTGGGCGAAACGTCGACATGGTCGCCTCTGTGTGATAATAAAACGTCGACATGGTCGCCTCTGTGTGATAATAAAACGACCTTCATTTTTCTGCACGCGATTACAAACCGTGTTTGCAGTACAATTACACAGAGTGGTGGTGGTTGATGGTGATCACAATGCGGATGGTGATGATGAACAAGAATGAACGATGACGTTCAGGGCTCCAAATTTCACTTCTCACTTCATATGTGCCAGAATACTGCCAGGCTGGCTGTCTTGGAGAAGTGATTATTGACATAAGGCACTAGCACTCGACCACAATGTACGCCTATCATATCCCTAATAATTTAGTATACCCTATACAGTACTATGTGAACACGTAACCAAAATAACAATCGCTGATGATAATGTGATGATAATATAATGTGATAATAGTTTGTGTCACTAGTAGTAATCGTACTGGCATTGGGGGTGTGCCGGGTGTGGTGTTAATGGAGGCGTGTTTGGGATTGATTTGAGAGAAGACTTGTACAGCCAGAGAGAACACACGATTCAATTGTGTATCTGGATACTGCGCCATGCAACGGGTGACCGATTACAGAATCGGCATCAATGAAATAAGACACGCGGGAGACAAGAAACTCCGGACGGGACCGGCAAGAGACACGGAGACACGGCACGGGCCTCCAACGACAGAAGGGACACCGGGGACACAGGACTCCAACCACGGCACAGTCTGCAGACAACGGGCACGAGACACGGGATTCTATCCACGAGACACGGGACAGGGTGACACAGGGACACGGGGACACAGACACGGGACAGGGTGACACAGGGACACGGTGACACAGACACGGGACAGGGTGACACAGGGACACGGGGACACAGACACGGGACAGGGTGACACAGGGACACGGGGACACAGACACGACACGGGACAAGGTGACACAGGGATACGGGGACACAGGGACTCCATCCACGAGATAGAGGGACACGGGAGATGAGACACGGGGACTCTGACCCAGCGCGGAGTCGAGCGAGGGGATGCCTGTTGACACGAGCAGCTGGGAGCGGGACCCGCAGGGCCGCGTCCCGCGCAGAGCCCCTCCGAGTCCCCCGCGCCCCCCGGGCCCCCCGGGCCCCCCGCGCCCACCGGGCCCCCCGGGCCCCCCGGGCCCCCCGGGCCCCCCGCGCCCCCCAGGCCCCGACTCCACGCGCGCTCCACGCCGAAAACTCGTGGCGCTGGGCGCGGCCATGTTGGTTGGGCGGGGGAGGAGAGGCGAGGGGGGGGGGATTAATCTCGCAGAGTCTCGCGAGATCTGGTAGAGTCTCGCGAGATCTCGCCAGTCGGAGTCTGTGAAACATTTTTTTTATATATTTTTGACAAAACGTAGAGATGTCGCAAACGACAACACAGCACTCCTTCAACAGCAATAATGTTTATTAGCGCTATTACCACTCGTTACACACAGTAGCCCCCTGGTGAACTAGTGAAGAATGTGCAGCAGCAGCATCACCATCGTGAACTTGCACCTGGTGAAGAAGGTGCAGCAACATCATCATCATTAACTTGCGCCTGGTGAAGAAGGTGCAGCATCACCATCGTGAACTTGCACCTGGTGAAGAAAGTGCAGCAACATCATCATCATTAACTTGCGCCTGGTGAAGAAGGTGCAGCAGCAGCATCGGGAACTTGCAGCTGGTGAAGAAGGTGCAGCAGCATCATCGTGAACTTGCACCTGGTGATGAATGTGCAGCAGCATCGTCATCATGAACTTGCACCTGGTGTAGAAGGTGCAGCAGCAGCATCACCATCATGAACTTGCACCTGGTGTAGAAGGTGCAGCAGCAGCATCACCATCGTGAACTTGCACCTGGTGAAGAAGGTCCAGCAGCAGCATCATCATCGTGAACTTGCACCTGGTGAAGAAGGTCCTGCAGCAGCATCGTGAACTTGCACCTGGTGAAGAATGTGCAGCAGCAGCATCACCATCGTGAACTTGCAGCTGGTGAAGAATGTGCAGCAGCAGCATCACCATCGTGAACTTGCAGCTGGTGAAGAATGTGCAGCATCATCATCGTCATCATGAACTTGCACCTGGTGAAGAAGGTGCAGCATCATCATCGTCATCATGAACTTGCAGCTGGTGAAGAAGGTGCAGCATCACCATCGTCATCATGAACTTGCAGCTGGTGAAGAAGGTGCAGCATCACCATCGTCATCATGAACTTGCAGCTGGTGAAGAAGGTGCAGCAGCAGCATCACCATCGTGAACTTGCACCTGGTGAAGAATGTGCAGCAGCAGCATCACCATCGTGAACTTGCAGCTGGTGAAGAATGTGCAGCATCATCATCGTCATCATGAACTTGCACCTGGTGAAGAAGGTGCAGCATCATCATCGTCATCATGAACTTGCAGCTGGTGAAGAAGGTGCAGCATCACCATCGTCATCATGAACTTGCAGCTGGTGAAGAAGGTGCAGCATCACCATCGTCATCATGAACTTGCAGCTGGTGAAGAAGGTGCAGCAGCAGCATCACCATCGTGAACTTGCAGCTGATGAAGAAGGTGCAGCAGCAACATCGTCATCATGAACTTGCAGCTGGTGAAGAAGGTGCAGCATCACCATCGTCATCATGAACTTGCACCTGGTGAAGAAGGTGCAGCAGCAACATCGTCATCATGAACTTGCACCTGGTGAAGAAGGTGCAGCAGCAGCATCGTCATCATGAACTTGCACCTGGTGAAGAAGGTGCAGCAGCAGCATCACCATCGTGAACTTGCACCTGGTGAAGAAGGTCCAGCAGCAGCATCATCATCGTGAACTTGCACCTGGTGAAGAATGTGCAGCAGCAGCATCACCATCGTGAACTTGCAGCTGGTGAAGAATGTGCAGCATCATCATCGTCATCATGAACTTGCACCTGGTGAAGAAGGTGCAGCATCATCATCGTCATCATGAACTTGCAGCTGGTGAAGAAGGTGCAGCATCACCATCGTCATCATGAACTTGCAGCTGGTGAAGAAGGTGCAGCATCACCATCGTCATCATGAACTTGCAGCTGGTGAAGAAGGTGCAGCAGCAGCATCACCATCGTGAACTTGCAGATGGTGAAGAAGGTGCAGCATCACCATCGTCATCATGAACTTGCAGCTGGTGAAGAAGGTGCAGCATCACCATCGTCATCATGAACTTGCACCTGGTGAAGAAGGTGCAGCAGCAACATCGTCATCATGAACTTGCACCTGGTGAAGAAGGTGCAGCAGCAACATCGTCATCATGAACTTGCACCTGGTGAAGAAGGTGCAGCAGCAACATCGTCATCATGAACTTGCACCTGGTGAAGAAGGTGCAGCAGCATCACCATCGTCATCATGAACTTGCAGCTGGTGAAGAAGGTGCAGCATCACCATCGTCATCATGAACTTGCACCTGGTGAAGAAGGTGCAGCAGCAACATCGTCATCATGAACTTGCACCTGGTGAAGAAGGTGCAGCAGCAACATCGTCATCATGAACTTGCACCTGGTGAAGAAGGTGCAGCAGCATCACCATCGTCATCATGAACTTGCACCTGGTGAAGAAGGTGCAGCAGCATCACCATCGTCATCATGAACTTGCAGCTGGTGAAGAAGGTGCAGCATCACCATCGTCATCATGAACTTGCACCTGGTGAAGAAGGTGCAGCAGCAACATCGTCATCATGAACTTGCACCTGGTGAAGAAGGTGCAGCAGCATCACCATCGTCATCATGAACTTGCACCACGCCAGCTGCGCTCATCGCTGCAGAGGCGGCGGCTTCTGGCTCAGCCATCGAACAAAGGACGGCGGTGCGCTTCCGCGGCCGTCTGGAACGCTCTTCCTTCAGATATTAAGAAGACACCGGAGCTAATGCAATTTTTAAGCGTCTCTATTAAATACGAATTTCTCTAGAACTGCTTATTGTTGTGTTTAGTTTGGTGTCCTTCCCCCGCACCTCCGATTATCACGGTTGGCTTTGCACGGTACGAAAGAAGTTCAGTACACATACATAGGAAGCCCTCGTAAATTGTTCATACGAAAGAATGTTGTCGTGAACGCGTACGCACAAACATTACACGCGGTCTTCTTTATACGAAGGCGATGTCGGCCAATTAGTGAGTGTCTACGTGTCGGAGGAAACCGGAACACCCAGAGAAACCCCACGTGTGCGAGGGGGGGCACTCTATCCCCGTCAGTGACGTGCGGTGAGGTCAATGGATAGTGAGGCACTGGCTAAGACACGCCCCTCTCAGCGAGGCAGATGTGATATCTGCCTCACTGAGGGGGGCGTGTCCTCGCTGGGGGGGGGGCGTGTCTTCATTGAGAGAGGCGTGTCTGACACGCCCCTCTCAGTGAGGCAGATGTGATAGCTGCCTCCCCTGGTGCTTTTTCATTGCAGTTTCATGACGAGACCAGCGAGCCTAAATATCTTTATTCACATACGTCAAATAAGTTACCTGGAGTATGGAAGGCGAGGACACGTAACGAAGGGGTCTACAAACATTACATTGGTGATACCCAGAGAGAGAGAGAGAGTAACAGGCACGCGCTTGTTGCCCGTGCTCCTTCCAGTGTCAGAGGGGAGGCTGAGCTTGTCTCTGCCTCCTCGCCTCTCGTCTCTCCCTGCATTTGTAGCGGAGCTCCGCAAATTTGGCGATTTTGACGAAAAAAAAGATTGGAATGATACATAAATTACATTTATAACACAGATCAGTGGAGAAATCTAAATTTTTATTTTAGTAGATTTTTTTACTTTTCGTAACAGCTATTTTCATTTGAGTATGACAGGTGAGGCTCTGCCTCCCCTGCCTCCCCTGCCCGCACGTGACTGATCCCCGTACAGATGGAAACAGATGGCGATGAGTCCACTCGCTGTGCCGCCTTCTCGTGGCGAGCCAGGGCACGGCTCCTCCTCGACGCCCACGGGAAGGGAGTTTCACGACATCTGTGAACGGTCATCCACCAACCCTCGCTGCTGCTGGATTATTACAGCAGCCACGTGCAGCGTAGCCATCACCACTACCATCCGGCTAAATAAAAAATGTAATAAAAATGGCATGATGTCCGACGTTTCGCCACAGGGGCTGGTATCAGCTGTATTTGCTTCCTAGAATGTATCGCGTTACCGGCTGCTGCTGCTGGTGTATTGATGAAGCTTGGACGAACCGGGAGCCACATGAACCAGAGACGAGGCTTTCCCGGACACATCTGCCAAGTTCACCGGCAGCATTGGTTCACGCGAGCCTGACAGCGGGGACATTCACCCACGGGGCTGGTAAAGTGAAGGGCATCGTTTGAGTCTGCAAGCTTGGTGGGATGGGGGGGGGGGGCAAGGTCATGGCTCGGGGCAGGGAAAGGGCTCTGGGCAAGGGCATGGGGCATGCCTATGGGGGAGGGCTGTGGAACAGGGCAGGGCTGCGGGGCAGGGCTATGGAGCAGAGCTATGGGGCAGGGCTATGGGGCAGGGCTGTGCGATTTCGGGATGTGTGGCTGGGAACGCGAGGGCCTTCGCTGTCAATTAGTTTTCATGAACGCCCCTAATCAGGATCCATCATTGATGTGGCGTCAATTGGCTCGTTCGCGGTGCGAGAAAGAGTTTGTGTGTGTGTATAGCGGTGTGTGTGTGCGTAGCAGTGTGTGTGTAGCAGTGTGTGTAGTTGTGTGTGTAGCAGTGTGTGTGTGTAGATCGAATCAGCCTCAAGTGAGTACCTGGTGCATTGAGTAAACATTTTCCACTGGGGAGACAAAGGCGGCCGGGCGCGGTGTTGGCCACCCACCCTCTCGTGTTCCGTGTCGCCTTTCATAGGTGATCGCTTACAGCACTTGCCCCAACCGTCTGTTATTGTGTAGCATTTGTGTGTTTGTCTGTAGCTATGGGGGAGTGGTGGAACAGTGGTTAGGGCATTGCACTACCAAATCCGGCAAACTTAGTTTGATGGCCGCTCACTGCACATACCATTGGCGTGTGTGTGTGTGGAATGTTGTGTTGTGGTAGTGTCGGTGGTTATAAGAGAGATTCCGGAAGTAACGGAAGGAAGCAGGGAGAATGAGATGCAGCCAAATAGGGAAGACGAGGACGGAGAGAGAAAGACGACAGAGAGAGATTCAGGGAGACATTGAGGGAGAGATGGAGGGATGCAGGGAGTGAGAGATGGAAAAATAAAGATAAGAAGAGAGTGGGGGATACAAGGGGGGGGGGGTACAGGGAGAGGAAGATGGAGAGGGATGGATGGGGAGTGGGGGGCGG